CTTAAGATAGAGAGCTGAGCTTAGATTATCTGAAATGAACAAAAAGCCAGAGTTATGGTGATAGCAAATAACTTGATACGGTATGCAAAGGCCTATTGTAAATTAAAGGCATGATGTTTTATGCTTCATTTTGTGATAACTAGAATTTTCTTAAGGATAATCTCTTTCAAGGGAAGCTTAACTACAGGTAGGTCTCTGTCTTGCCCAAGTCTAGACTGTTTAAGATATCATACCCACTGATTTATCACATGTTTTGAATGACAGGAAAACGAAGGCCATGGAGTGGGATCTTGCTATATGGGGTAAGATGCATTTACCAATTCATTTGCCAATGCCATGAACTCAACATTTTGTGGTAACCTATTTCAATTACCTAACAGGAGAATAAGACAGTGATATATTACAACAGTTTCCATTTTGTTTAACAGCCTCCTGGTACAGGAAAATCCTACTTAGCAAAAGCAGTAGCAACCGAAGCAAACAACTCAACATTTATATCTATTTCATCATCTGACCTAGTGTCTAAGTGGCTTGGAGAAAGTGAACGGTACTGTCTAAAACATAATGTTTTCCGTGTAGAAGTTGTCAATTAGTTAATTTTCCTAGCTTGTGATGAAAATTTATCCAATTTATTTCAAGTACTTATAAATAAATCCACTGAAAACAAGCAGGAAGACATGTTGGCCATTTATTGATTTACCCAGTGACATCAGGCAAACTCAAAACTGTGGCTCGTGGTTTATACAACAGACCTCCTTGAGAAAAAAAAATTTTTAAATTTTGCAAATTTCCTTTGATTGAATAATCCAGGGTACCATTAGTTTTGCTTTACTTAGTGGTTCAGAAAACTTTTGTCACTCTTTCTCAAACCAATCTGATGTATAATAAAAGCAACTGTAATATAATATGTCTCCTTTTCTTGTGATTCAAACAGTTTTCTTCTCTGAACTCTCTTTGGGTCTAACCATCAATAAAAACAAGCTCATGAAAAAATCAGTACATGTTGCGGGATTAACTTCCATTAGTGTGAATGAATGTTTTCTGGAGGGAAGCAATGCCATTGTGACTCCATGCCTGTCCAATCATTTAACCCTTTCACTGCCAAGATCTCATTTACTAATTCTCTCAACTGTCTGCTATACAAGTGATATGATGTGAGTTTGAAGAATTTGGTATTGGATCAACTTGTAGTCCCCTAATGGATTTCTTTATTCTCATCTCTTGTCTGCTTGATATTATATTGATATTGTTAGGAGAAGTTCTTTCTTGGTCACTCATGGGAGTTCCAATCATGCCTAATACCCATCTGCTTACTTTTTCAGGCTTGTAAAGCACCTATTTGAGTTAGCACAAGACAATAAACCAGCCATTATTTTTATTGATGAAGTTGATTCCTTGTGTGGCTCAAGAAGTGAAAATGAAAGTGAATCAGCTAGGAGAATTAAAACAGAGTTTCTGGTTCAAATGCAAGGTAAGTCTTATAAAAACAACATATATCTTACCTTGAAATTTCTAAAAATCAGCAGGGAAGGGATTAGGTTCTATAGTCTGTGTAAATAAAGCATTTGCTGTCTAGAATGTGGCCTGAAAAAGAGGGAAAATAAATCCCTGACAGTTACGAAAAGCATAAGATTAGAATAGTTTTCATTGATTCTAGTATTACATATGTTCTCCTTTTTTATTTTGTTTTAACAGTAAGAGTGCATGTACATGTAGAAAGATGACTCAAAGGCTTATTTCAGTAAATGTTTCCTACACCATTTTGTGAATCAGAAATAATTATCTGGCAACTTTTTCTCAAGGATTTTTTTTTCATTTCCTCTCATTCTAAGAAAATCAAATAAGGGTTTGTCTAAGACCCTTTTTTCAAGTTTTTTCTCTCTTTTTGACAAATATTGTTATTTTTACCACTGGAAAAGTTTGAATTCCCCTTACAATGGAGTTCTTTTTTTGTTTTTGTTGTTCAAGCTTCTTGGGGCCTGCAGGAAAAAAAGGCTTCACAAGTTTTTGATAATTTGTGGTATCAAGGGGTTCAGAGAAATTATCAGTGGCTTCAGGATACTAAGGGGGTTTTAGAAACCATGGTACTGGTGCTACAAAATGTTGAAGATATTTAATGGTACATTTTAATGGCCAAAGGACATGGTTTCAGATTTGAGATAAAAGGATGTATAAGATATCTAGGGCTCAAAATAATTTGAAACTCCTCTGCATTTAACAAATCAGTGTACATTTTAGCAACTCGGTGAAGGGGGGATATGGTTTCAGGTGAAAGATAACAGAATTTTCAAGATATCTAGGATTAAAAATAGTTTGAAACTCCATTGCATTTAACAAAACAGTGCACATGCACTTTATCTACTGACTTGTCCTTCAGGAATATTGACACAGGTTAAAGACTGAGTGATATGGTGGCAATTTTGTTTGGCTGACAGGGGGAGTCTTCTCTCTATTAAGAAGGACTTAAAGTGCTATTTTATTTAATCTGTTACATCTTAACTGAAGGTGTTGGAGTTGATAATAAAGATGTACTTGTCCTGGGAGCAACAAACATTCCATGGACTCTTGACTCTGCTATCAGAAGAAGGTATATTATACATGACTTTAGGGTATTATTTTGCATTTCTTTATAATTATTGTCCCAAGGCATACTTGTGCTTATAAGGGGTTCATACTTATGAGTTTTTGTGCAAAACCTTTAAGTATTTGACCTCTGAATTCAGTTTAGATTTTTGTGATGATGATACTGATTCTTTCGTGTGTTAAAAAAAAAATCCAAGCAAAAAGGGAAGAAGTCTTCTTGTTTCTTACACCTTTCACAGGCACAAAATCTCTGCAGTTCAAGGCCGAACTTACAAGTTTTAGTTTGTCAGTATTGTCAATCAATATCAAGACAGACATACAGTATTAGGGAAGAAGCAATCAAAATACATTATAACATAGCTAGTAAATTTGTCTAATCAAATTCAATTGCGCGAGCATGCTTCATGTTCCTATTGTGCATGCTCATGATGTCAGCAAACAAATCCCTAGAGAAAAAATTTTCCATCAGGTTGAAAATGTTATAAAACAATTGGTTCATAAGTCATCTGTGTGTTCATCAAGATATGAAGCACTTGGGAAGTTTGGAGAGCACTCAAGAAGCTAGAGTTGCTCTTGGCTATGCCTCAAGCAACTCTTATGCATCTTTCATGCTCTCCAAACTTCCTGCGTGCTTCATATCTCAATGAACGTACACTGACATATGAACCAATTGTTAATTGAAATCTACCAGCATGTTCATATGCATGAGCATGCTCATGCATTGCACAATGTATCTTTAATTCAATATTCTGCATTTTATGGAAAATTGGAGTAATTTCCTCAACATCATTTCTAGATTTGAAAAAAGGATTTATATCCCATTACCTGAGGCATCAGCTCGGGTAAAGATGTTTGAGTTACATATGGGAAACATCAAACACTGTATTCAACCCACAGAATTCAGGGATCTAGCAGAGAAAACTGAAGGGTGAGGACAATCAAACTTATTAATTGGGATAAACAACCTCAGGATCATAGATTAAATATAGTTTTTATTTAACCTGCAAACCTACAAGGTCTGTTTGTCATGCATTAATTTTCTTGAATGTTAGTTCAGAGGATTTTTTTTTTTAATAAATCAAACTGTGTTCTCCAGTTTCATTTTTCTTTGTTCCTATTACCTCTAAGTTCGGCAGTGGAGTTTTATTACATGCCTGAAAAAATTACTGTTTGGTCAGTCTTGATATGCATTAAATCAAGGATCATCAATATTGGATAATTAAAAGTTAAAATGCAAGCCTTGTTGAATGTTCCACTTTTTGCAGCATGAAAGCTTCACCCATTGACCCCTATGAGTGACTGGCATCATGTCACCCCTGAATCACATATAAAGGTCCCAGGAATATAGGAAGCGATCACCAACTAACAAAGCCCTTGATTTTTAAACAAATTCTCCTTGTCAGCACCTTAGGAGATGCATAGAGAACAGTTTGGAGAATATGCATTCTGATGTTAGGGTGTAAAGGGTTAATATCCAAGTCTACAAATCTTAGTTAGCACCTGTTTGTCAGCACTTGTCTGTCAGCACTTGTCAATTTAAAACTGTATGCTCTCCCCATGATTTCAGGTATTCAGGCGCAGACATCAGCATTGTTGTGCGTGATGCTATGATGCAGCCAGTCAGAAAAGTACAACAAGCAACACATTTTAAACTGGTTTGTATAATGTCTTTCTCAAA